CCACAGGCTGACCTCCTACAGGCTGATCTCCTACAGACTGACCTCCTACAGACTGATCTCCTACAGACTGATCTCCTACAGACTGACCTCCTACAGACTGATCTCCTACAGACTGACCTCCTACAGACTGATCTCCCACAGACTGATCTCCCACAGACTGATCTCCCACAGACTGATCTCCTACAGGCTGATCTCCTACAGACTGACCTCCTACAGACTGATCTCCTACAGACTGACCTCTTACAGACTGATCTCCTACAGACTGATCTCCTACTCCTACAGACTGACCTCTTACAGACTGATCTCCTACAGACTGATCTCCTACAGACTGATCTCCTACAGACTGATCTCCCACAGGCTGATCTCCTACAGACTGATCTCCTACAGACTGATCTCCCACAGACTGATCTCCCACAGACTGATCTCCTACAGACTGACCTCCTACAGACTGATCTCCTACAGACTGATCTCCTACAGACTGACCTCCTACAGACTGACCTCCTACAGACTGATCTCCCACAGACTGATCTCCCACAGACTGATCTCCTACAGGCTGATCTCCTACAGACTGACCTCCTACAGGCTGATCTCCCACAGGCTGATCTCCTACAGGCTGATCTCTCACAGGCTGATCTCTCACAGGCTGATCTCCTACAGGCTGATCTCTCACAGGCTGATCTCTCACAGGCTGATCTCCCACAGGCTGATCTCCTACAGGCTGATCTCTCACAGGCTGATCTCTCACAGGCTGATCTCCTACAGGCTGATCTCTCACAGGCTGATCTCCCACAGGCTGATCTCCTACAGGCTGATCTCCTACAGGCTGATCTCTCACAGGCTGATCTCCCACAGGCTGATCTCCTACAGGCTGATCTCCTACAGGCTGATCTCCCACAGACTGATCTCCTACAGACTGATCTCCTACAGACTGATCTCCTACAGACTGACCTCCTACAGACTGATCTCCCACAGACTGATCTCCTACAGACTGATCTCCCACAGACTGATCTCCTACAGGCTGATCTCCTACAGACTGACCTCCTACAGACTGATCTCCTACAGACTGATCTCCTACAGACTGACCTCTTACAGACTGATCTCCTACAGACTGATCTCCTACTCCTACAGACTGACCTCTTACAGACTGATCTCCTACAGACTGATCTCCTACAGACTGATCTCCTACAGACTGATCTCCTACAGACTGATCTCCCACAGGCTGATCTCCTACAGACTGATCTCCTACAGACTGATCTCCCACAGACTGATCTCCCACAGACTGATCTCCTACAGACTGACCTCCTACAGACTGACCTCCTACAGACTGACCTCCTACAGACTGATCTCCTACAGACTGATCTCCCACAGACTGATCTCCCACAGACTGACCTCCTACAGGCTGATCTCCTACAGACTGACCTCCTACAGACTGATCTCCTACAGACTGACCTCCTACAGACTGATCTCCTACAGACTGACCTCCTACAGACTGATCTCCCACAGACTGATCTCCCACAGACTGATCTCCCACAGACTGATCTCCCACAGACTGATCTCCTACAGGCTGATCTCCTACAGACTGACCTCCTACAGACTGATCTCCTACAGACTGATCTCCTACAGACTGACCTCTTACAGACTGATCTCCTACAGACTGATCTCCTACTCCTACAGACTGACCTCTTACAGACTGATCTCCTACAGACTGATCTCCTACAGACTGATCTCCTACAGACTGATCTCCCACAGGCTGATCTCCTACAGACTGATCTCCTACAGACTGATCTCCCACAGACTGATCTCCCACAGACTGATCTCCTACAGACTGACCTCCTACAGACTGATCTCCTACAGACTGATCTCCTACAGACTGACCTCCTACAGACTGACCTCCTACAGACTGATCTCCCACAGACTGATCTCCCACAGACTGATCTCCTACAGGCTGATCTCCTACAGACTGACCTCCTACAGGCTGATCTCCCACAGACTGATCTCCTACAGGCTGATCTCTCACAGGCTGATCTCTCACAGGCTGATCTCCTACAGGCTGATCTCCTACAGGCTGATCTCTCACAGGCTGATCTCCCACAGGCTGATCTCCTACAGGCTGATCTCTCACAGGCTGATCTCTCACAGGCTGATCTCCTACAGGCTGATCTCTCACAGGCTGATCTCCCACAGGCTGATCTCCTACAGGCTGATCTCCTACAGGCTGATCTCTCACAGGCTGATCTCCCACAGGCTGATCTCCTACAGGCTGATCTCCTACAGGCTGATCTCCCACAGACTGATCTCCTACAGACTGATCTCCTACAGACTGATCTCCTACAGACTGACCTCCTACAGACTGATCTCCCACAGACTGATCTCCCACAGACTGATCTCCTACAGACTGATCTCCCACAGACTGATCTCCTACAGGCTGATCTCCTACAGACTGACCTCCTACAGACTGATCTCCTACAGACTGATCTCCTACAGACTGACCTCTTACAGACTGATCTCCTACAGACTGATCTCCTACTCCTACAGACTGACCTCTTACAGACTGATCTCCTACAGACTGATCTCCTACAGACTGATCTCCTACAGACTGATCTCCCACAGGCTGATCTCCTACAGACTGATCTCCTACAGACTGATCTCCCACAGACTGATCTCCCACAGACTGATCTCCTACAGACTGATCTCCTACAGACTGACCTCCTACAGACTGATCTCCTACAGACTGATCTCCTACAGACTGACCTCCTACAGACTGACCTCCTACAGACTGATCTCCTACAGACTGATCTCCCACAGACTGATCTCCTACAGGCTGATCTCCTACAGACTAACCTCCTACAGGCTGATCTCCCACAGGCTGATCTCCTACAGGCTGATCTCTCACAGGCTGATCTCTCACAGGCTGATCTCCTACAGGCTGATCTCCTACAGGCTGATCTCTCACAGGCTGATCTCCCACAGGCTGATCTCCTACAGGCTGATCTCTCACAGGCTGATCTCTCACAGGCTGATCTCCTACAGGCTGATCTCTCACAGGCTGATCTCCCACAGGCTGATCTCCTACAGGCTGATCTCCTACAGGCTGATCTCTCACAGGCTGATCTCCCACAGGCTGATCTCCTACAGGCTGATCTCCTACAGGCTGATCTCCCACAGACTGATCTCCTACAGACTGATCTCCTACAGACTGACCTCCTACAGACTGATCTCCTACAGACTGATCTCCTACAGACTGACCTCCTACAGACTGATCTCCTACAGACTGATCTCCCACAGACTGATCTCCTACAGGCTGATCTCCTACAGGCTGATCTCCCACAGGCTGATCTCCTACAGGCTGATCTCTGACAGGCTGATCTCTCACAGGCTGATCTCCTACAGGCTGATCTCCCACAGGCTGATCTCCTACAGGCTGATCTCTGACAGGCTGATCTCTCACAGGCTGATCTCCTACAGGCTGATCTCCTACAGGCTGATCTCTCACAGGCTGATCTCCCACAGGCTGATCTCCCACAGGCTGATCTCCTACAGGCTGATCTCCCACAGGCTGATCTCCTACAGGCTGATCTCTGACAGGCTGATCTCTCACAGGCTGATCTCCTACAGGCTGATCTCCTACAGGCTGATCTCTCACAGGCTGATCTCCCACAGGCTGATCTCCTACAGGCTGATCTCCTACAGACTGACCTCCTACAGGCTGATCTCCCACAGGCTGATCTCCTACAGGCTGATCTCCCACAGGCTGATCTCCTACAGGCTGATCTCTCACAGGCTGATCTCCTACAGGCTGATCTCCTACAGGCTGATCTCTCACAGGCTGATCTCCCACAGGCTGATCTCCTACAGGCTGATCTCCTACAGACTGACCTCCTACAGGCTGATCTCCCACAGGCTGATCTCCTACAGGCTGATCTCTCACAGGCTGATCTCTCACAGGCTGATCTCCTACAGGCTGATCTCTCACAGGCTGATCTCTCACAGGCTGATCTCCTACAGGCTGATCTCCTACAGGCTGATCTCTCACAGGCTGATCTCCTACAGACTGATCTCCTACAGACTGACCTCCTACAGACTGACCTCCTACAGACTGACCTCCTACAGACTGACCTCCTACAGACTGATCTCCTACAGACTGATCTCCCACAGACTGATCTCCTACAGGCTGATCTCCTACAGACTGACCTCCCACAGGCTGATCTCCCACAGGCTGATCTCCTACAGGCTGATCTCTCACAGGCTGATCTCTCACAGGCTGATCTCCCACAGGCTGATCTCCTACAGGCTGATCTCTCACAGGCTGATCTCCCACAGGCTGATCTCCTACAGGCTGATCTCCCACAGGCTGATCTCCTACAGGCTGATCTCTCACAGGCTGATCTCCCACAGGCTGATCTCCTACAGGCTGATCTCTCACAGGCTGATCTCCCACAGGCTGATCTCCTACAGGCTGATCTCCTACAGGCTGATCTCCCACAGACTGATCTCCTACAGACTGACCTCCTACAGACTGATCTCCTACAGACTGACCTCCTACAGACTGATCTCCTACAGACTGATCTCCTACAGACTGATCTCCTTCAGACTGATCTCCTACAGACTGATCTCCTACAGGCTGATCTCTCACAGGCTGATCTCCCACAGGCTGACCTCCTACAGACTGATCTCCTTCAGACTGATCTCCTACAGACTGATCTCCTACAGGCTGATCTCTCACAGGCTGATCTCCCACAGGCTGACCTCCTACAGACTGATCTCCTTCAGACTGACCTCCTACAGACTGATCTCCTACAGGCTGATCTCCCACAGGCTGATCTCCTACAGACTGATCTCCCACAGGCTGATCTCCTACAGGCTGATCTCCTACAGGCTGATCTCCTACAGGCTGACCTCCTACAGGCTGATCTCCCACAGACTGACCTCCTACAGGCTGATCTCCCACAGACTGACCCTACACGCACTTAGAGGAACAGTTTTTGATCATGATAATATACCTGCCGACCGACAGCAGATTGAAGGCGATGGCACAGCCGATGACCTCCTGCATGTCAGAGCCGATGATGGCCAACTCCACCATCAGCCACAGGATGATCCGAGGCACCTGCACAGCACAGGAAACACTTCAGCACAGGAACAGGAAACACTTCAGCACAGGAAACACTTCAGTCTACCGCGGGATGAACGTCCCGTGGGATAAACGCGGGATAAACGTACCATGGGATGAACGTACCGCGGGATGAACATATCGTGGGATAAATGTACCGCGGGATGAACGTACCGTGTGGTAAACGCGGGATGAATGCCACAGGATGAACGTACCACAGGATGAACGTACCACGGGATGAACGTACCGCGGGATGAACGTATAGTGGGATGAACGTATCGTGGGATGAACGTATCGTGGGATGAACGTATCGTGGGATGAACGTACCGCGGGATGAACGTAACGCGGGATAAACGTACCATGCGATGAACGTATCGTGGGATGAACGTATCGTGGGATGAACGTACCGCGGGATGAACGTACCGTGGGATAAACACGGGATAAACGTACCATGGGATAAACGTATCGTGGGATGAACGTACTGCGGGATGAACGTACAGCGGGATGAACGTACCGTGGGATTAACGCGGGATAAACGTACCATGGGATAAACGTACCGCGGTATGTACGTACCACAGGAGGAACGTACCACAGGAGGAACGTACCACAGGATGAACGTACCACGGGATGAACGTATCGTGGGATAAACATACCACAGGATGAACGTACCGTGGGATGAACGTACCGTGGGATAGACGCGGGATAAACGTACCATGGGATAAACGTACCATGGGATGAACGTACCGCGGGATGAACGTACCGCGGGATGAACGTACAACGGGATGAACGTACCACGGGATGAACGTACCACGGGATGAACGTACCACGGGATGAACGTACCACGGGATGAACGTACCACGGGATGAACGTATCGTGGGATAAACATACCACGGGATAAACGCGGGATAAACGTACCATGGGATGAACGTACCACAGGATGAACGTACAACGGGATGAACGTACCACGGGATGAACGTATCGTGGGATAAACATACCACGGGATAAACGCGGGATAAACGTACCATGGGATGAACGTACCACAGGATGAACGTACCACGGGATGAACGTACCACGGGATGAACGTATCGTGGGATAAACATACCACGGGATAAACGCGGGATAAACGTACCATGGGATGAACGTACCACGGGATGAACGTACCGCGGGATGAACGTACCACGGGATGAACGTACCACGGGATGAACGTATCGTGGGATAAACATACCACGGGATAAACGCGGGATAAACGTACCATGGGATGAACGTACCACGGGATGAACGTACCGCGGGATGAACGTACCGCGGGATGAACGTACCGCGGGATGAACGTACCGCGGGATGAACGTACCGCGGGATGAACGTACCGCGGGATGAACGTACCGCGGGATGAACGTACCGCGGGATGAACGTACCACGGGATGAACGTACCACGGGATGAACGTATCGTGGGATAAACGTACCACGGGATAAACGCGGGATAAACGTACCATGGGATGAACGTACCACAGGATGAACGTACCACAGGATGAACGTACCGCGGGATGAACGTACCACGGGATAAACGTCCCGCAGGATTAACATATCGTGGGTTAAACGTACCGCGGGATGAACGTACCACAGGATGAACGTACCGTGGGATAGTGGCGGTTGCAGACCTCGGCGAGATGCATCCCAGTGACGACCCCGAGCCGGGCGGCCAAACGCTGCAGCAGGAGCCCGATGATGGTGGAGCCCAGGAGCACCCAGAGCAGCTGCGGCATACACACACACAAGGTTACACACACACACAGATTAAAACAGGTCACACACACGTCAAAGGTTTCACACACGCGTCACGTAATTAACAAGTGTAGATGAACCCTTACACACCTTAAACCCTGCTTTAGCCCCGGACTGCAGGTCCGACTCGATGTTCCCCGGGTCCAGATAGGCGATGCTCATCAGGAAACCCGGGCCAGTGAAAGCCCACAGTTTCCGAAAGCTGAACATCTACAGAGAGGAAGAGCAGCGAGAGTCAACACAGCGATGCATTAGCTTTCACATTCTTCTCGAGCTGTACACGTCATGTGACTGCAGGGAAACGTGGGCATGACGACACTAGCTTCCTAACACTATTATTTCAGGATATTGCATAAAAAAACACTGGATGGAAATGCTATGATGTACATAAAAAAAAAAATTGTATGCACTTAATTGAGGCGGATCATTTTTTATCCAATAAGCAGACATGCACATAAACTACGATGGAAAGACATTTAATAAATAAATCCCTCAAACCCTCATGTGACTTTGCCTCAGTAGAGGCTGTGATTGGATAACTGGAGTAACCAGTGGACCAATGGCATTGCAGCATCTCAAATGGCCGCAGTCAAAGTGTGTGATCAGAATGATTGGGTTTAATTCCCTCCAGAAGCATCTCACACACACGAGTGTGTTCCAGAACACCAGCATCCGAATGCAAGAGAACATGACAGCGTTTACTGTATTTCGTCTGACGCTCTGAGACACACATTTATGATGGAGGGAAAAACAGCCACATTGAAGAAACTTAGTTTATTACTGATATTTTGAGTCGATTTCACAGGAAGTGAAGATTTTGTTTTCTTGAACACATGGGATGGAAACGATACTTTATTCACAAATGTTATATGCATTATCCAGTTTTTTGCAGAAGTTATTTTCGCAGCTTTGGATGGAAACACAGCTAGCGAGAGTCTGACGGTGTGTATAAGCGTTAGACTTCCTGTGCTCTGCTTTCACTTCTCCACTATCCTGGTCCAGGCCAGAAGGTCAAAGGTCGCTGTTGCTCAAGCCCATGCTGATCGTGTCGGATCCGTATCGCTCTCAAGAACACATGACGAGTGTACAGTTACACTGTTTTCACTACTTCCCTTTTGTCTTTATTTTTCCACTTGAGTCTGTTCCTCTTGTTTGAGCTTGAAGAAATCAAGATTTGTGATGTTTTTAGACTAATTCATGAAGAAGAATGTAATAATTATAAACATCACAATCTGACAAAGCACTGTGTTCTTTCCCATGACCCTTCACACACTCGAGACTGATAATAACAGATCCCTCGCTCTCACGGACCTTCACTGCCACAGGCTGACAATATACTGACATGAAACAGTCTCGGCTTCAGATCCTGTCCATTTCATCAGTAAATTCAGTCAGTAAATGTGTGTTTGTGTGTTTAATGTGTGTGACGGATGAACCGATCATCTCTTCCTCTTTACTACTAGTTACAGCAGCAAATAAACATCAATGAACATCAGAATGAAAGTTGAAAGATACAGAACAACTTCCTGAAATCCATCATGTCTCTTAATCCATCAATCAGTGTTTCAAACGTCAATAAAACAGCTGGAGAACAATAATGTCACGTACCGTCACGTTATCCTCAGAAAAGCCTTTCCGTGACCATAAACTCTAGAGAGGAGCGTTCTCAATGTATGCGATTATGCGAATGTATGCATATTTGATTAAATCCATCAAGAAGTTATTACATCCACCATTTAATGTTTAATTGGAGTTAAAAAGAGGCACCTATTATGCCCCTTTTTACAATATGTAAAATAAGTCTCTGATGTCCCCAGAGTGTGTATGTGAAGTTTTAGCTCAAAATACCCAACAGATAATTTTATATAGCATGTTTAAATTGTCACTTTTCGGGGCTCAGAAAATCAAGCCGTTTTGGTGTGTGTCCCTTTAAATGCAAATGAGCTGCTGCTGCCAGCACAGGGGGCGGAGCTTCACGAGCTCCGCGACCTCACAGAATGATCATATCAAAACAGAAACTCTCAGTAGCGGTGTTCATTTCGACCCGGAGTCGGACAATAATGCCTACAGAGTAAGAGAATATACGCTGTATGTATGGGGACAGAACAGGTATAGTTTAGTTTAATTACGGTTATAACACACATTTATGTTCAAACGCCATGTAAAAGTGAATTTTGCATAATAGGTGCCTTTTAAGTTAAATATGCCTTTTAATGTTTTAATGAGTGTTGATTATTATATCTAAAAAATAAATAGCAACTGAATTTAGCAGGATTTTTGTACTTTACAGCTTTAGTTCAGAGAGATTTTATTCATGAAGAAAAATTGACATTAATGTGTTTGGCAGCAGTATCAAGAGTGACAGAGAACAGAGAAGATGGCGGATAATAATGCTGTCATAGAATTATTTTGTATATGCTTTTGTTTTAAATAAAATATTGTTAAACACCCAAAACGAATAAAGGAATGTTGGCATACTTTAAAAGAATTAAGGCCTTCTAGGGTACATACGGTAAAAGCCATTTTATCTAAAACTACCCGAGACCCGGGTCTCTATTTGGGTCTCGGATTCAGGTCTCGGGTCGGGTCTCAGGTTCGGTCGGGTCTCGGTTTTGGTGGGTCTCAGGTTCGGTCGGGTCTCAGGTTCGGTCGGGTCTCAGGTTCGGTCGGGTCTCAGGTTCGGTCGGGTCTCAGGTTCGGTCGGGTCTCAGGTTCGGGTCTCGAATCGGGTCTCGGTTCGGGTCTCAGGTTCGGTCGGGTCTCGGTTCGGGTGGGTCTCGAATAGGGTCGGGTCTCGGTTCGGGTCTCAGGTTCGGTCGGGTCTCGGTTCGGGTCTCAGGTTCGGTCGGGTCTCGGTTCGGGTCTCGGTTCGGGTGGGTCTCGAATCGGGTCGGGTCTCGGTTCGGGTCTCAGGTTCGGTCGGGTCTCGGTTCGGGTCTCAGGTTCGGTCGGGTCTCGGTGTGGGATCACCTCTACCTTCGCTCGGTCATCCTCCGGGATGGGGACCTTCTCCTCGAAGTATGTGGAGACCGCCTGATCCTGGGGGAGAGGAGACACGGGACTGTAGAGGTCCGGCTCCTGCAGGCTCTCTAAAACACACACACACCAGAGAGAGAGGGATAAACGGGTCAGAACGACTGAACCTTGAGATGTGGCAGAAACTCTCACGCTTCAGTCACATGACCCTCAACACATAAACTCAAGTTAAGACTCAAACATCCTGCAGTTAAAGATCCTCTTGGTTATCCTCACGCATTTATGAGCCAGAGATATGATCACATCTCCTGTAATATAATCTCTCATTTCCTTCCACTGACATAATCAAACCCAAAACTGCCCAGAAAGCAAATAACATTTTAGTGTTGGTGTTAACTCATGACAAGAGACGTACATTATGTAATCAGATTACTTGGTTGATGTAACAATAATGAATATACATTTATACATTATTATACCAGTTCTTTTTAAAGTAATACACGTTACTTTTAGTTAATTTGCCTAAACAATAAAAAGAGTTGTACACTCTAATATAACCCATAATGTTCAGAGATCTTTAGTACAGCAACCATCGCTCTAGGGCTCATGAGATGATAATATTCTAAAAGTATTTTTAAAAGAAAATGAAGGTGTATGTTTTATAGGCATAACTGCGTTAAACACTAGCGAAAAAAACAAAAAACACCTGCAAGGCCTGGAAGAGATAGCAAACATAAAAACATTTCTTCACTTTCCATTAATTAATGTAACTAGTTTCTTTTTTAGGGAGTCACCATTATTATAACGCATAACTTTTAAAAGTACGTTTCCAAATGCTGTGTAGAGCATGGAAACAGCAGAGCAAACCGAGTCACTGAGTTCAGAAGAGAATATGACTCTCCATAAACCTGGAAATCACGAGAGCCACGTTCATCATAAACACGAGGAAACTACCCTGATGACTTACTCTGACTCTCAGACAGCCATTCATAAAACTCACTTACACACACAGCAATAATACATCTACCAGTCACACACTCTTCTCACAGACACTGTACGTCCATCAGGTCATCAGAGAAACAGGCCAGAGTCAGCGTTTTAAAACAGTTTAATCTTCTATAATAACAACATCAGATTAACTGGTCAACACTGGTTTTCCTGTGGTTTAGAATCATTGAGCTGCACTGAAACTCATTCAGGAGACACACGCGCGTGCTGACGGTCACGTGTGTCAGGAGACAGGATGTGATGCGTGTGTCAGGAGGCAGGATGTGATGCGTGTGTCAGGAGGCAGGATGTGATGCGTGTGTCAGGAGACAGGATGTGATGCGTGTGTCAGGAGACAGGATGTGATGCGTGTGTCAGGAGACAGGATGTGATGCGTGTGTCAGGAGACAGGATGCGATGCGTGTGTCAGGAGGCAGGATGTGATGCGTGTGTCAGGAGGCAGGATGTGATGCGTGTGTCAGGAGGCAGGATGTGATGCGTGTGTCAGGAGGCAGGATGTGATGCGTGTGTCAGGAGGCAGGATGTGATGCGTGTGTCAGGAGACAGGATGCGATGCGTGTGTCAGGAGGCAGGATGTGATGCGTGTGTCAGGAGGCAGGATGTGATGCGTGTGTCAGGAGACAGGATGTGATGCGTGTGTCAGGAGGCAGGATGTGATGCGTGTGTCAGGAGGCAGGATGTGATGCGTGTGTCAGGAGATAGGATGCGATGCGTGTGTCAGGAGATAGGATGCGATGCGTGTGTCAGGAGGCAGGATGCGATGCGTGTGTCAGGAGATAGGATGTGATGCGTGTGTCAGGAGACAGGATGTGATGCGTGTGTCAGGAGGCAGGATGCGATGCGTGTGTCAGGAGACAGGATGCGATGCGTGTGTCAGGAGATAGGATGCGATGCGTGTGTCAGGAGACAGGATGTGATGCGTGTGTCAGGAGACAGGATGTGATGCGTGTGTCAGGAGGCAGGATGTGATGCGTGTGTCAGGAGGCAGGATGTGATGCGTGTGTCAGGAGACAGGATGTGATGCGTGTGTCAGGAGACAGGATGTGATGCGTGTGTCAGGAGACAGGATGTGATGCGTGTGTCAGGAGACAGGATGTGATGCGTGTGTCAGGAGGCAGGATGCGATACGTGTGTCAGGAGGCAGGATGCGATGCGTGTGTCAGGAGACAGGATGCGATGCGTGTGTCAGGAGATAGGATGTGATGCGTGTGTCAGGAGACAGGATGTGATGCGTGTGTCAGGAGGCAGGATGTGATGCGTGTGTCAGGAGACAGGATGTGATGCGTGTGTCAGGAGACAGGATGCGATGCGTGTGTCAGGAGGCAGGATGTGATGCGTGTGTCAGGAGCAGGATGTGATGCGTGTGTCAGGAGGCAGGATGTGATGCGTGTGTCAGGAGGCAGGATGTGATGCGTGTGTCAGGAGGCAGGATGTGATGCGTGTGTCAGGAGGCAGGATGTGATGCGTGTGTCAGGAGACAGGATGCGATGCGTGTGTCAGGAGGCAGGATGTGATGCGTGTGTCAGGAGGCAGGATGTGATGCGTGTGTCAGGAGGCAGGATGCGATGCGTGTGTCAGGAGGCAGGATGTGATGCGTGTGTCAGGAGGCAGGATGTGATGCGTGTGTCAGGAGGCAGGATGTGATGCGTGTGTCAGGAGACAGGATGCGATGCGTGTGTCAGGAGGCAGGATGTGATGCGTGTGTCAGGAGGCAGGATGTGATGCGTGTGTCAGGAGGCAGGATGTGATGCGTGTGTCAGGAGACAGGATGCGATGCGTGTGTCAGGAGGCAGGATGTGATGCGTGTGTCAGGAGGCAGGATGTGATGCGTGTGTCAGGAGGCAGGATGTGATGCGTGTGTCAGGAGACAGGATGTGATGCGTGTGTCAGGAGACAGGATGCGATGCGTGTGTCAGGAGGCAGGATGTGATGCGTGTGTCTGGAGACAGGATGCGATGCGTGTGTCAGGAGGCAGGATGTGATGCGTGTGTCAGGAGACAGGATGTGATGCGTGTATCAGGAGGCAGGATGTGATGCGTGTGTCAGGAGACAGGATGTGATGCGTGTGTCAGGAGACAGGATGTGATGCGTGTGTCAGGAGGCAGGATGTGATGCGTGTGTCAGGAGACAGGATGTGATGCGTGTCTCACCTTCCACCACGTCCCCATTCCGCTCAGTCTTCATGAGCTCCAGGAGTGTGTGTGTGTCAGACTGAAGGACAGAAAACACACACGGGTCACACACAGACAACAATTCTACTGCAGGAATGAACTGTATTATAATAATAATAATAATAATAATGAGATGTGTTGCATATGCTGTGGAGGAACCACAAACTGTGCTTCAGTTAAACCACAGATACTGTTCAGCATTCTCCATTAATTCTTAATTATCTAACCAAAAAAATACTTGAGTAGAAGTATGCACATTTAATTGTACTGAAGTATTTAAAAGCAAACACTTTACTTAGTTTTTTTTAATTAAGATAAATAATTTTAAGATTCTAATTTTTTCTTAATTATTGAGAAAAGATGATGTATGAGATACATTTACAAATATTTAAGTCTACATAAAATTGTAAAACTCCAACCGAACTCAAATCAAGCACAGATTCCCAAAAATAACAGTGAAGTATAACAGTATTATTACTCAAATGCTTCACAACCGCTGCGTTAATAACCACTAACATCAAACTTCTGAAATAGAAACAATAATTATTGCATTTGTCATGTATGATGTTTGTGTGTTTTACGGGAAACTCCTGCACAGAATAAAACACACACGAACCCGACAGATCCTTTAAGCCCAAAATCCCACAGGAGAAGCTTTTCCCACCAGGATTATAGCAGTGACTGAAGCTCCCGTGGGAGAACAGGGAACAGGGACCGTCCTGGGACCGTCCTCAGGTGTCCACACGCTCCTGTGGGAGAACTGGGAACGTCCTCAGGTGTCCACACGCTCCTGTGGGAGAACAGGGAACGTCCTCAGGTGTCCACACGCTCCTGTGGGAGAACTAGGAACGTCCTCAGGTGTCCACACGCTCCTGTGGGAGAACAGGGAACAGGGACCGTCCTCAGGTGTCCACACGCTCCTGTGGGAGAACTGGGACCGTCCTCACGTGTCCACACGCTCCTGTGGGAGAACTGGGACCGTCCTCAGGTGTCCACACGCACCTGTGGGAGAACTGGGAACGTCCTCAGGTGTCCACACGCTCCTGTGGGAGAACTGGGACCGTCCTCACGTGTCCACACGCTCCTGTGGGAGAACTGGGACCGTCCTCAGGTGTCCACACGCTCCTGTGGGAGAACTGGGAACGTCCTCAGGTGTCCACACGCTCCTGTGGGAGAACTGGGAACGTCCTCAGGCGTCCACACGCTCCTGTGGGAGAACAGGGAACGTCCTCAGGTGTCCACACGCTCCTGTGGGAGAACTAGGAACGTCCTCAGGCGTCCACACGCTCCTGTGGGAGAACAGGGAACAGGGACCGTCCTCAGGTGTCCACACGCTCCTGTGGGAGAACTGGGACCGTCCTCACGTGTCCACACGCTCCTGTGGGAGAACTGGGACCGTCCTCAGGTGTCCACACACACCTGTGGGAGAACTGGGAACGTCCTCAGGTGTCCACACGCTCCTGTGGGAGAACTGGGACCGTCCTCACGTGTCCACACGCTCCTGTGGGAGAACTGGGACCGTCCTCAGGTGTCCACACGCTCCTGTGGGAGAACTGGGAACGTCCTCAGGTGTCCACACGCTCCTGTGGGAGAACTGGGAACGTCCTCAGGCGTCCACACGCTCCTGTGGGAGAACTGGGAACAGGGACCGTCCTCAGGTGTCCACACGCTCCTGTTGGAGAACTGGGACCGTCCTCAGGCGTCCACACGCTCCTGTGGGAGAACAGGGAACAGGGACCGTCCTCAGCTGACCACACGCTCCTGTGGGAGAACTGGGAACGTCCTCAGGTGTCCACACGCTCCTGTGGGAGAACGGGGACCGTCCTCAGGTGTCCACACGCTCCTGTGGGAGAACTGGGAACGTCCTCAGGTGTCCAAACGCTCCTGTGGGAGAACAGGGAACGTCCTCAGGTGTCCACACGCTCCTGTGGGAGAACTGGGAACGTCCTCAGGTGTCCACACGCTCCTGTGGGAGAACTGGGAACGTCCTCAGGTGTCCACACGCTCCTGTGGGAGAACAGGGAACGTCCTCAGGTGTCCACACGCTCCTGTGGGAGAACAGGGAACGTCCTCAGGTGTCCACACGCTCCTGTGGGAGAACTGGGAGCGTCCTCAGGTGTCCACACGCTCCTGTGGGAGAACTGGGAGCGTCCTCAGGTGCCCACACGCTCCTGTGGGAGAACTGGGAACGTCCTCAGGCGTCCACATGCTCCTGTGGGAGAACAGGGAACAGGGACCGTCCTCAGCAGGTGTCCACACGCTCCTGTGGGAGAACTGGGACCGTTCTCACGTGTCCACACGCTCCTGTGGGAGAACTGGGACCGTCCTCAGGTGTCCACACGCACCTGTGGGAGAACTGGGAACGTCCTCAGGTGTCCACACGCTCCTGTGGGAGAACTGGGACCGTCCTCACGTGTCCACACGCTCCTGTTGGAGAACTGGGACCGTCCTCAGGCGTCCACACGCTCCTGTGGGAGAACAGGGAACAGGGACCGTCCTCAGGTGTCCACACGCTCCTGTGGGAAACTGGGAACGTCCTCAGGTGTCCACACTCTCCTGTGGGAGAACTGGGACCGTCCTCAGGCGTCCACACGCTCCTGTGGGAGAACTGGGAACGTCCTCAGGCGTCCACACGCTCCTGTGGGAGAACTGGGACCGTCCTCAGGTGTCCACACGCTCCTGTGGGAGAACAGGGAACAGGGACCGTCCTCAGGTGTCCACACGCTCCTGTGGGAGAACTGGGACCGTCCTCAGGCGTCCACACGCTCCTGTGGGAGAACAGGGAACAGGGACCGTCCTCAGGTGTCCACACGCTCCTGTGGGAGAACTGGGAACGTCCTCAGGTGTCCACACGCTCCTGTGGGAGAACAGGGAACGTCCTCAGGTGTCCACACGCTCCTGTGGGAGAACTGGGACCGTCCTCAGGTGTCCACACGCTCCTGTGGGAGAACTGGGAACGTTCTCAGGTGTCCACACGCTCCTCTGGGAGAACAGGGAACAGGGACCGTCCTGGGAACGTCCTCAGGTGTCCACACGCTCCTGTGGGAGAACAGGGAACAGGGACCGTCCTGGGAACGTCCTCAGGTGTCCACACGCTCCTGTGGGAGAACTGGGAACGTCCTCAGGTGTCCACACGCTCCTGTGGGAGAACTGGGAACATCCTCAGGTGTCCACACGCTCGTGTGGGAGAACTGGGAACGTCCTCAGGTGTCCACACGCTCCTGTGGGAGAACTGGGAACGTCCTCAGGTTTCCACACGCTTCTGTGGGAGAACTGGGAACGTCCTCAGGCGTCCACACACTCCTGTGGGAGAACTGGGAACGTCCTCAGGTTTCCACACGCTCCTACAGTAACGCTAATAGAGCGTCTGTTTAACGGGATCTGGTCTTTAATAATGTTTCTTCCTGGAACATTTTAGTTGGATGTTTGTGAAACTTTTTAAAAATGTTGCTACTGGGATTTAAAAGTAACGTTCACATGTTTGAAGAATGGAATGTGTCCTTGACGTTCGTTCACATAACCAAGAAAAAAAAACTCTTACAAACTGGACATTTTGAACGTTCAGAGAATATTCAGAAACAATCAGGGCTTGACATTAACACCCGCCAACCCGCCAAATGCGGGTGCATTTCACCCGTGGCGGGTAACACAGTCACTCTCACTAGCCACTTTGGCGTGTTGAAGATTTGTAGTCTTGTCAAAGGACATCTGACATAACAAACGAATTGCAATTTGACACTATGCCACTACCACTCCCATGAGTACCACCTGCACATAGTTTAGTGTTTGCTCATTGGTCCATTCGTGAATCCTCTTGAACGACAACACTGCAAACAAGAAGACACGCGGAGATTAAACTCGCGGACTGTGCGACGAACTGGGCTGTTTTAGTCTGCCCTTAATTATCAACTTAATGTGATGATATAGCGATCTTTTTTTAATAGCAGGAGAATCCAGACCACCGGCGTGTCTCACGCTCTCCTGCAGTGCCGCTGCGCGAGGGTGCGCGCGCCAAACGAACGATCATCACACGCGACTGGTCGCATACACACACACATCAACACAGCGTTCAGTCAGTTCGTGAGTGTGCATGGCCGGTATTAAAGCAAAAATCATCTTCATGATTAAGGGCCACGGTGTAGGCCTAACTACTAGCAGGGCTGCCCTTATGTCACGTCATATCACAACTATCTTTCCAGAGTTAATTCTATGTTTTAATAAAATTAATCATGCCATGAAAGAAAGCAGGAGATGCGCTTGTGGGAATAATCTGGAAAATAAAGACCTGTAGGCCTATACTTGTTTCAGGTGGACATATCTCCAGTTACTCAGAGCTTCATGATGATAATTATTAAGTCAGAGCTCTGAGGAAAAGCTGATGCAAAACAAACAATCCAAAGTCCTATATAGTCCTATATAGCCTATATAAAGTTGTAATCCTGGTGCCTTAATTGTGGATTTTTTCTTTAAAATTATTATTTATTCTTTGCTCGTTGTTTCTAATGCAGATAATTGTTCTACTCTGTATTGCAGTATTTACTGCTGTAAAACAAAAAACAAACAAACAATGCAGCACTTTTATTATATACAATAAGAAGCTATTTTATGTGTGTATCTTAGACAACATGTTATCAAAAAAGGAGCTTAACAACCTTATCAGAGCTAATGATAATATTAGTTCATTTTAGCACGTTTTCAGCCCCATTGTCAATTTTAATCATATAAAACGTACAACAACAAAACTGTGGCTAGTAAAAATGCTGCGTGGCTAGTCATTTTGGAAAACCACTAGCCACATTGGCTAGTCATTTTGGAAAACCACTAGCCACATTGGCTAGTGAGCAAAAAAGTTAATGTCAAGCGCTGGAAACAATGTATTCATAACTTAATTGGAATGTTAGCAAAACATTCTTTAAACATCTTTCAGTTCAGAGGAAACACACACAATTAGACCACACACACACACACACTCACTCAGTGTCAGGAGAGTATATATGTGTGTGTGTGTGTGTGCTGGGTGTGTCTGTGCCGTTGGGTTTATCACAGAACTCTCTCGCTGCTCTTCACAGATTAAACAGTGAGAGAGAGTGAGTGTGTGAGTGTGTGAGTGAGTGAGTGTGTGAGTGAGTGAGTGAGTGAGTGAGTGAGTGAGTGAGTGAGTGAGTGAGTGAGTGAGTGAGTGAGTGAGTGAGTGAGTGAGTGAGTGAGTGAGTGAGTGAGTGAGTGAGTGAGTGAGTGAGTGAGTGAGTGAGTGTGTGAGTGAGTGAGTGAGTGAGTGAGTGAGTGAGTGTGTGAGTGTGTGAGTGAGTGAGTGAGTGAGTGAGTGTGTGAGTGAGTGAGTGAGTGAGTGAGTGTGTGTGTGTGTGAGTGTGTGAGTGTGTGAGTGAGTGAGTGTGTGAGTGTGTGAGTGAGTGAGTGAGTGAGTGAGTGAGTGAGTGAGTGTGTGTGTGAGTGAGTGAGTGAGTGAGTGTGTGAGTGTGTGAGTGAGTGAGTGAGTGAGTGAGTGAGTGAGTGAGTGAGTGAGTGAGTGTGTGAGTGTGTGAGTGAGTGTGTGAGTGTGTGAGTGAGTGAGTGAGTGAGTGAGTGAGTGAGTGAGTGAGTGTGTGAGTGAGTGAGTGAGTGTGTGAGTGAGTGAGTGAGTGAGTGAGTGAGAGTGTGTGTGTGTGTCTGAGTAAACAGTCTACTTACAGCCTAACCCAACAGTAGATCACTGGTCAGATGAAGAACAGCACGGAGCGCCACAGTGAGTGATGTCATTCAGTGAAGTGAAGGATTCTGGGAAATGGAGGAAGCGCTCGTGACCTCGGCTGTGTAATCTGTGAAGAGCAGCGAGAGAGTTCAGTGATAAACCCAACGGCGCACACACACACACACACACACTACACACTCTCACTCTATCTCTCTCTCTCTCTCTCTCAAACACACACACACAGTGTGAGTGAGAGAGTGTGTGTGTGTGACAGAGAGAGTGTGGAACATCATTAAGAGCAAACGCTGTTTCCTTATTAATTATTATTAATAAATCCTCCACAGATTAATGTGTTCATATGTTTCCTATTCTCCAAACACCAGAGCTGCTGATCCCGAGAGGACCTGATTGAGCACAGGAGTGACTGGCCTGATGGGATGGGGATCTTCTCTCACTCACACACACACACACACTCTCTCTCTCACACACACAAACACACTCTCTCTCTCTCTCACACACACTCACTATCTCTTTCTCTCTCACACACACGCGCACTAGACGAACATCTGAATGATCACAGCGCGATGATGAATCAAACAGCAATATCACACACTCATCAGAGTGCAGAAGGACTCCGTGTAGCGACTCAGCAAACACCAGCATCCTCAGCTCTGTGTGTGTGTGTGTGTGTGTGTGTGTAACACATCATGCGCTTCCATAATCCACACATAGATCACGATACACACCTTTCATTAGTAACCACACACTTACAGAAACCCTTTATCTAAAGGCCATGTTGAGTCCTTACACAAACAGCTAACGTTACTGTTACCGGACATGCACTTGTTTTGTTCGGGGTTATGAAAGTATCCAGCATTAACTGTTACAGTACACACGTCACTGGTGCAACTGCGTCGCCACACAACCTTCCTCTAATAACAGCTTACACACACAGCTTACACCTAATTGTTAATTAGGTCCTTAAAAACTTTGCTTAGATTTCATTGCCAATATTTTCACCCAATCAAGCAAAACTTCAGGTAAAGCTGCGCGGTTCACTTTAAGAGAATTCATTCATCGGTAACCGCGACATTCCCTTCCTCGCGCTGATCTGATAACCACAAACTAAGTTAAACATCATGTTTTCATCGAAGTGACACTGAATCAACACATTCACTCACAGTAATGACGTTACTCCCGACTCTCCTGATGAAGATGAAGATGAAGACCCGCGCAGTCTGCGGGCATGAGGACGCGAAGGTGACAGCGAGTGACGAAAGCAGCGAGACATTTCAGAATAAGAGTCCGGACATCACGTGGAGTCACGTGTCAGTTCTTCTGCTCTTCCCAATAAAGTTAATTATTTATTTTAAAGTCACCATAATATAAAATTTGACAGTTCTTATTTTATGGAATATTGCAGTAACGTTACTTATAGTAAATTATTTATCCATGCACATCATTATTTTCTTTAACTTTTATTTGAATGTGCTTTAGTAATCTAAAGTCAGCATGAAATATGTTGC